AGCAAGATGCAGGGATGGGACAGGAAAAGAAGGTATCAAAAATGCTGGCGAGGGTGTACATTGCTGATGGAAATGTAAATTGGTCCAGTCCTTGTGGAAGTCAGTATGTGGATTTCTCCAAATATATCTTCCATATGGCCCAACTACATTTACCCAAGGACTCCAAGTCAACATTTCACAGACACTTGCACAGCAATGTTTATTGCAGCACTATTCATAATGACTGAGCTGTGAAACCACGGATAAGGAATAGATAAGAGAAATGGGGCATATATACACAGCGCAATTTTTAAGCCATAAAGAAGAATGAAGCCAAGCCACTTCAAAGAAGCTGCCTGCAACTGGAGATGATTGTATTAAGTGGATTAAACCAGACCCTGAAACGAATTGTTTAATTTGTAGTTCCTAGATTTAATATAGATACATGAAATTGTGTGTGTGTGTGTGTGTGTGTGTGTTTGGTGTGTGAATAAAAATAGAGAATCTGAGGGAAACAATGAGAGTGAACGGGTGAGAGTGGGATGCAGAAAATATTCTCAACATGCAATACATACCTGTATAAAAACCCAACGTGGTACTTTAATTAGTTAAAAAGATTTGCTGGGCATAACTTCTCAGACCTGCGATCTTGGCATTCAAGGAGCTGAGGCAGGAGGATTCAAGTTCAAACACAGCTCGCTCTACATACTCTGTCTCAGGAAAATTAGTACTAATGAATAATGATAATAATGCAGAAGGCTGGAGGCAGTGCTTTTGCTCTGATGGAGTGTTGACCCGTGATAAAACAGCAATAAAGAGATTGTGTAATTTACACTGGGTTGTAAACGTAGGTCACACACACATCACAAGATTTCGGTGAACAGTAGAAGTCTGGAATAAAGATTCTATAAAATACTGTCTAAACTGTGAGATTATTACCTTTAAAACATAAGGCCTTGTTGCTACATTTTCTTCTTTTTGTTTGTTTGTTTTTGTTTTTGTTTTTCGAGACAGGTTTTCTCTGTATTGTTTTGGAGGTTGTCCTGGAACTGGCTCTGTAGACCAGGCTGACCTCGAACTCACAGAGATCTACCTGCCTCTGCCTCACGAGTGCTGGGATTAAAGGCATGCACCACCAATGCCTGGCTGCTGCATTTACTTCTTATGCATATACAATGGAAACATTATACATTATTTCTACCTGGATCATTCCTTTTCTCTTTTTTAAGTAGAGAATTATAGGCAAAGATAGATTTAATTTATTCTATAATACAGGCATGGTAACAAAAAACAGGAGAAATAACATAATTTAACATAAAATAGAATTGTAATACAGGAAACCTGTAATACAATGCAGTGTGACCATCATATATATGCACCTGTATATGTAACAGCAATTAAAGAAAGAGAAGCCATGAATTTGAAAGAGAGCAGGGAAGGGATACATGGGAGGATTTAAAAGGAGGTAAGGGAAGGGAGAAATGATCTAATTATATTAAAATCTCAAAAAAAGTTATTTAAATGTATACAGCATCTATGAATGGGTGACACAGGGAGAGACAACCAGAAAAGAAGCACAGCCATAAACAATGTCATGTCATACAAGGATGGTGGTCTTAGCAGAGCAAAATCAAAAAGGATATATTCAGAATGGAGTTTAGGCCTTCTGTAAGAGTATCATGTGCTGGCAGATCCCTACACTGATCTGAAAACACTTTAAGAAATCTTATGAAGTTGGTTAGTTAGTGAAGATAATATATGAAATTTAAAATAACAGAAACTGCATATTAATCTCACTATAATAATGAAGAGGTGTAAAGAAATCAATAAATGCAAGAAAACTAAATATACAAACATTTTAAAATAACATTTGTGCACTTAACATACATGTAATAAAAAACTGAGTTTTAGTTTCCAAACAATTATATTTCATTATTATTTTAACATATTAATTTGGGTACTATTTTATAGATTTTAGAATAATAGTAATATGATCAGTATGAATGGCAATGAGTTATTTTCTTTTTTTAATTTTATATACCAACCACAGTTCTCCCTCCCCTCCTCCACCCTCCCCACACACACCCCCCATCCACTTCTCAGAGAGGGTATGGCCTCTCGTGGGGAATCAACTAAACCTGGCATATCAAGTTAAGGCAGGACCAAGTCCCTCCCCCTGCATAAAGGCTGAGCAACATATCCCACCATAGGGAATGGGCTCCAAAATGCCAGTTCGTGCACCAGGAATAGATCTTAGTTCCACTGCCGGGGTCCTACAAACGGACCAAAGCACACAACTGTCATCCACATTCAGAGGTCCTAGTTCAGTCCCATGCAGGCTCCCCACCTGTCAGTCCAGAATCTACAGCTCCCTCTAGCTCAGGTCAGCTGTCTCTATGGTTTTCCCCATCATGATCTTGACCCCCCCTTGTTCATAGAATCCCTCCTCCCTCTCTTCAAACATACTCCCAGAACTCAGTCCAATGCTTGGCTGTGGGTCACTGCATCTGCTTCCATAAGTTGCTGGATGTAGGTTCTATGACGACAATTAGGGCAGTCACTAATCTGATTACAGGGAAAGGCCGGTTCAGGTGTCCTCTCCACTATTCCTAGGAGTCTTAGCTGGGGTCATCCTTGTGGGTTCCTGAGAGTTTTCCTGGCACCAGCCTTCTCCCTAACCCCACAATGACTCCCTCTGTCATAACATCTCTTTTATTGCTCTCCCTCTCCACCCCTCCCTGACCTTGACATCCTGTTCCCTCATGTTGTGGTCCCCATCCTCTCCCCTCAGTTCATTCTTTTACTCTTACCTATGGGTACAACAGAATGTCATCAGGAGTCATTTTATTGCTGTGTTCCTCTACCAGAATGGCAGTATTTAGTTTTCTCCTATGCCCATGGCCTATCCAGTCCAGATCCTTGACCACCTGAACAGTGCCATGCATGGGGACCAATTATTTCTAAGGTGATTTGCCTTGAGAGATAAGAACGGAAATGCTTCATGTTTGCTCCATACTTACCGCCCCTGGCGATCTTTGCTTAGATCCACTGAGTGCTGCCCTCTCGGCTTCCATAGATTTGCTGCCTGATGTCCATGAAGACACAAACTGCTAGAGACAGAGGCCTGATTCTTCCTCCCAGTACATTTCAGGTGAGGCAACATCTCCAGACTCTCTCGTTTTTGTTGCATTCTCTGAGCATGTCATTTGGCTGCTTTGAATGCTTCTCCTTGTCACTTACCTTAGCTGACCTTTGAATCATGTGGCGTGTTCCTGTGCCTGTGGCATCTTGAATTTCATGTATCTGTGAGTTTATAGTCTTTATCATTAGAAAACTTTCAGTAATTACTTCTTGCAATAGTTTTGCCCTGAACTTCCTTTCCCACCGCCTCTGGCTGCTTGACAGCTCATCACAGTCTATTGGTGCTTCATTTATTTTTCTGTTCTTTTTAACCTTTGTGAGTTTCATTTTTAATATTTTCTATTGCTTTGTCTTCATTTTTTGTTGTTTTTCGAGGCAGGGTTTCTCTGTGGCTTTGGAGCCTGTCCTGGAACTTTCTCTGTAGACCAGCCTGGCCTCGAACTCAGAGATCCTCCTGCCTCTGCCTCCTGAGTGCTGGGATTAAAATAATTAATTTTTTTGGTTTTGATGTCTAATGGTCTCTCAATCTCATATAGGGTTCTTTTCATAGCAGATGTTGTCTTCTTTCTCTCTCTCCGTCTCTCTGTCTCTCTCTCTGTCTCTCTGTCTATCTATCTGTCTGTCTATCTGTCTCTCAGCTTCTTCCACATGTCTCTTTCACTTGGGAAGACCTTACATGACTTTCAGGACTGCCAGTATTCTTAGCTTTGTTTAGGACGTGGCTGTATCACTCAGAAACACTTTCAGGGTATTTTAAGGCAATTTCGAGCTTTGACATGCTGGACCAGTGAGGCATCAGTCTAGGACATCAATCTTCAGAATCCAGTCAGTCTCCCAATGAACACGCGATTGCATGGCATCTGTACTAGGAGACACACGTCTACTCTGATGGTTCGTAACAAAATCTAACTGTCATCATCCAAGCCTACGCCACTGTTTTGTACGCTCCTTCCTGGTGAAGCTCACCCTGGCCTAGGTAGTGTGCTCCTGGGAAGACTCAGAAAGGCACTACACCTCTTCTTGCTCACTCTGGCTCTCTCTCTGCCCTGTTTCAGTTCCCTCTCCCTCACTCTGTTCTAGGAATCCCCCCAGCCAGTAAGGGCCAGATGTTTGCTCCCTGTCAGGAGTTGTTACCTACTGTCCACAGTTCAAAAACTGTGCTTTGTGTACTCTCACCGCCGTCACCAATGTTTTGTTTGTTTTTACTTTCATGGCAGATTTTTTTGTATTATTTTTCAAGGTTTTAGGATAAAACGAGACCTCATTACTTCATAGCTGAAGTGTGAGTTCTAGGAAATTTTCAAATGTAAAGGTACAGCCTCCATCCTCCCGGTTAGATCATGTATAAAGCTTCATTTGAAATTTATTGGGTCACTTAGATGATGCTAGTTTTTGTTGAAAATCCACATGGATGCTAATTTGTGCTTTTAAAATTTGTAGGGCAAATATTCTTTTGAACCCATTCAAAGCTTGGATCCTTGGGCAGGTTCCAGACTTTGCCTCCTGTGCTCTGATGCCATGATAACCAAGTCTCAACGTCACCCCATTAACAACTACCCTTTGGGCTTCCGTCGTCACTCAGGATTCCTGCTTCTTCTTAGAGCGAGGACTTAAATATTCTTTAGGGACTGTGTTATTCGTGGATTTGAAAAGATGATTTTCATTTTCTGCCCAATATTTTTAGTTTACTGTAGAGGGGCTAAGTAAATCATAATGGGAAACAATAGTTTGGCTCAAACATTTTAGAGAGGAGAGAGAGAGAGAGAGAGACAGAGTTGTGCTGCTAATGCTCTGAAATTAGTATCACTTGTATACATGAGTAAAATGAGCAATAATTATTTACCTTCGGAGAACAATAACTGTAGCTCTGACTCCACCAATAACTACAAACAGTTTTTTATTGAAGAAGAGAGAGTGATTGAATAGTCCAAATTAGCCCTGGCAAGAAAAATAGCAGCTGCCTAAAATGAAATGTTTGAGTTATGAGCCATGTGCCACTTTGGTTTATCTGTAGCCAAAAGCTTCGAAACCCTTATTCAATTAGCCGTGTTTCTGGAGAGAGCTCAGTTGCCCCGAACGAGAGCAGCCTGGTGATGAGTTAGAAGTATCCGTAGCACGCAAGTTCAGACCTTGCAATTCTGTTTTGTTGTTTGAACTTTCTTCTCCGTTGTAGCTAGGGATCTGGTATGGAATTTAAACACTTGTGTGGCAACTCCATTCCTTCAGTCATTGTGTTGTTAAGCCCCAGCTAACGAACTTTAACACTGGCTCTAGTCAGGCAAGACATAGAAACCAGTAGTCATCAACAGCTCTGGTTTTACAGCTAAAACTATACGGTTTATCTGTCTTTATGGCATCTGGATGTTCTTGCTTGCCCGGTCCAGCTACTCCATAAAAAGTCTTCAAAATACATATGAAAATAGATTTACCAAGATATAGCTTTAAAAAAAAAGAAAGGAACAACTTAGGAAGTGAGTTTCATTCCAAAAATTCATCCACTCTAGCAGAAGCATCCCAAGCCAATGCCTGTGTTAAAAGTTAGAGACTAACTAAAATCATATAATATTCAGAAGGTGAGAACTGAGAGGTGCAGCAGGCATGTACGCTGCCTAGCGTGGCACTTTCCTTCCCTGACAATGCTTCTAGTTGCTTAGAGATCCTGTTGACCATGTCACAAAGAATGTCTCAGCCCCGTGTGGATTATGTACACATAGGAGTGCTAAGAACAAACGTTGTGTTGAAAATCTCTGGGCTTCATTTTGCTTCCAAACATATTTTGAGACCAAAATCTAAGAGACTGAAAAAACGGAAGTTTTCTTCTTCTATAAGTCATAACTTAGTTCTAAAGGCAGCGCTGAGAAATCCAAACACGCTTGCAACATTTCAATAGCTTGGCATCACACACATCAGTGCCTCTGCTTCGAGGAACTATCCTTTAGTTAAGTGTGGGCTAATTACTAATCATTGCTTAAGGCCACAGGACATCATAGTTTTGTCACCTTACAAAAAGTAGCATGGTTTTGCATCTTGTTTGCCAGCAGAACTGTCGGGAAGAGCTTCTAAAGTCAAAAGTTGCCTTTTAGAGCTCCGAGGATAATCACTTGATTCCTGCTTTTATAGAAACTGCACAAACATATATTATAGGCCGAAAGTTTAAATATCACAAATATTATTGTCTAAATTTTAAGAAACTTGTCTGGGCCTATTATATTGGGTTTTCTTGTGAATCAACTGTCTGGGTCATCTGTAGAACTGCTCTGCTACTTTTGTTTTTGTGTGGATGGCAAGAAAATTAATAAACATGTGTTCCAAGCACATACTTCCAGTGGGTTCATACTCTGCATTTTTATTATTTAGTCCATTTACCATTGTAATCCTCTACTCAACTAAATCTACCTTCATTTGTTTAAATCTGATTCATCCTTCAAGAACACTTATATGCCACCTCATACAAGAAGCATTTCCTAATACCCCACCTCCACAGCCAAGTCCTCTCTGCTCTGTGTGCCTGGCGGTGCTCTCTGCAGCTCTCTGTGAAGGTGGTTATTGAGTTTTCTCTCTCCTCGGTATTCCTGTGCTGTCTCTCATTAGAAGGCAAGTTTCTTGGGGTTGGAGCTTCACTATTCATTTTTTTTTTTTTGCGCAGGTAAATACGTAGTGGATGATCATTCTTCAACAGTAAAAACATAAATTTTCAAATTGTGTTAGTTTATGAAGCATTTGTATGATGTGTCTCTAAAAAACACATTAAAAGATTAAAACTGAATATCTTTGTCTCCAATTATGTTAACATAGATTTACCACATCAGCTTGTCTAGCACTGGGGCAGACAGATCAGAGAAGGTGCCTGCTTGAAGCTTGTCTCTCTTTTTTTTTGTGACTACATCAATTTCAAGTAAAAGATTACTGAAAGGTTTTGTTGCGGCTAGTGATGCAATTGTTTGGGACTTTTGTTCAGCTGGTTTGTCTTAAGTCGGGATTTCTTGTGTAGTTGTTAAACTGCGGTCCCACCAATGAGCACATTGAAGAGCCAGTCTGATGAAATGAAGGCGCGGTTTTCCTTTGCTGTTTCTAAAAGTTCTTACAAGGTCTCCACACCACTGAGCAGTCCAGTTGCATCGCACTGAAGAACCACAGCTAAACTGCTTTCCAGAGCCAAGTCCATACAAATATAGTCAAGAAAACCAAGGTACCAGTCAATGTGGTGTCCGTAGCTGCTTTCCTGTGTTGCTGTATCTGCTTTCAATTCCAAAGTCACTCAGTTCCCTAAAACTCCCTGCAGTTTTTACAAATGTGGATCGGGTTCATAGACTTTCATAGGCTTCTAATTATGTGTTATCCTTTCAAACCCTGAGCTGCATTTGCAGATATTTGGGAGGAAAACAAACTGTGTGTGACTCCAAAGACGAATATTTAGTTACGAATTGTATGTCTCTACTTAGTCTCCACCAGCGGCCACCATAGAACATGTTGAAGATCCACAGGCTTGGGGTGAGCGCTGTTCCGCAGAAGCAGTCGTTGCGTCACAGGTTTTCTGAAATATTGAAGCATAGAATATTACTGTGTATGGCTATGACATCACGACACAGAAAGCCTCAAGCTGTTTTAAAGTATTTTCTTCTCATAAATATATCCTAACCGTATCTAATTAAATACACTCCTCAGTATAGCGCGTGCTCTGAAACTGTTTCTACTGTGTACTCTGCAAAGTTAACCATCTTGATTATGATTGACTGCCGGGTGATTCATTTCAGGAGTGTTCTGTTTGTAATTTTCTAGGAAATGTTACTTCTGTACTCATCGAGGAAGAGCAAACCAGAAATGCCGGCATTGTTTGCCATGGGAAAAATTAAAATTATCTTAAAGAAGAGTGTCTGCACGCTGGCACGTGGCCAGGTGAATCTTATTTGCTGCCATAAGGTAGCAAGAAGGTTAGGGCATTGCCTGTATCCATTCTCGACTTGGACCTCATCAGACAACAGAGAGCTATTAACTCCAGCTTTTGTGTTAAACAGCTAATGACCTCTTAACTAATAACTTTTCTCAGAATTCTTTAGTTCTAGGTTCTCCCATCTCTTTGGAAACATATATGTAAAACATATAGTCTTCTTTTACAATTTTCACATTTGGGTAAAATAAGAACATACAAGACTTTGAGTTTGTGCCATCTGCAGACATTCAAAGCTGGAGAGGGGCATCCATTCCTACTGTCTAGTTTGTCAGCCTCCCTGTCTGCCGCTGAGAGCCAAAACCTGTATCATCATGGTTAATGTTTTGACAGATTTTATCACAAGCCTTGATGTTGTAAATTCTCTTTGAGCCAAAATTTAACATGTTGAATGGTCACAAATGACTTTTATTGTTTGTGATCCAGAAAAGGAAATAAATCCAATATGCTGTTTTAAATGATAGGAGTGAACAGCTTAACTCCCGTCTAGCGTTACACATCAAGTTTGGGAGAAATTCTCTTTCCCTGTCCTGAAGACCTGCAAGTTATCGCTGGAAACATTTAAACATTTTTGTGACTAGCGCATTGGAAAGGACAACAAAGAAAACATTCTATGATTTATGTGTTCTCAATAAATTTTGCAATCAAAATGTTTCATTTTTTAGAGTTCAAATGTAACACCTCAAAATGTGATTGGCTTCAAAGCTCTGGGGCAAACCCTGTCCACAGGTAGCTTCTCAGAGCTCATGTTAGGGAGACGTCATGATGCTTTTTATCTGTTATGACTACTCAGGGCAAATTTTAAAAGACATAATCCCAATCATTGCTATTCCTAGGAGACTACAGAACAACATTCTTTTCTCTCTCTAGGACATCTTCAATGACCATGACCATTAATATTTACTTGTAAATGCATTTGTACACAGGCTCAACCATAGCACATTAGAGATGACAAAAGGAGTGTGTTACTCAGTTCTTTACCCTGGAATAAATCAAATCAACAAATATTTATTGAATGTCTACTGTGTGCAAATAGCCCTGGGCTGGGCAGGTTTTAAAAGCCACCCAACTTTTCAAAGTGACAAATCAAAGCATTATTTTATTTCAAGCATTTCAGAAGCCACTCTCATGTCCTTAAGGTGACAATGTGTATGAAGACGACAAGGTTGACTCACAATGTGAAAACAGGAGAAAGAATACTCTAGAATACCATCGATGGACTACATCACATATTATGTATGTATGTGTGAATGTGTTTGTGAGCACAAGACTGTCATGTATGTGTTCATCTGTCCATATGCACATGTATCCACACAGAAAACCATGAGTGTGTGTGAGAGAAAAGGCTCGTGCTATGGTAGCATAAGAATAGATGCTATCATTTGAATATATTAGTATGTGTTAATAATGATATATAATAATATTAATAATAGAATTCAGACCTTTGCCTTAGAAAACAGGCTTTGCAATTTAATTATTGTTGAGTCCTATGATGCTAGCCATCAAACCAAAATTATTATGTTGTAGAAGAGATATTCAACCTAGAGTCTGCTGTTCTGCAGACTAGCTTACCCTGAAGTCTATTATGGGATGACCCCATCAGCAATAGATTTCTAATCAAAGACTTGACTTGTACATTGTTACTTTGGAAAGTTACTGAAGAAGCCTTAATAACAAATTTGCATCATTAGTCAGAGAAGCTGCCATAAACTGACAGTGCAGATTCTAGTTGACTTGAGAAACTAAATAGAAACTTCCAATAAGAGGCAAACATCAAGGACTTCCCTTTCCTGTTCCAATCTTTGCATTTCATTTTGTTAATTCTTGTAAAGAAAATGGTGTCTATGATCTGTATCATGCTATTGAATATATTATCTTAGGGACGTTAAAGGAAAACTGACAGTAATTTCCACGTTTGCCAAATGGTATTAATTCTAGATGTTTTACATTAAGAAGTGTGTACACAGATAGTCTGTAGATATTATCATTGAGATTTCTGGGGGAATATCTTGTGTCCACTTAAAAATATTTATAGAAGGGGCTTATTTTTAAGGAGGCAATTTTTGCCTTCTGTTGGTAGGCTTATGTTTAGTTCTAATGACAATCAAAACAGACTCTAAATAACCTTGGTTGTCAGAAGTTTTTATCTTTCTTTAATTGCCCGAAATTAATTCTTTAATAATCAGAAGGGGAAATGCTGTTATAGTTCTTAAATTTTTATGTTTGAGTTACAGAAATGTTGAATACTAAGGTTACCTTGAAATGCATTTCTTCTCATGAAGTTGTTCTCATCAGGTAGCCAAATGACCTTCTTAAACACAGGAAGCACTTTCTCTGAGTGACAGTTTTGCATTGCTTTTGTGTCTCTCATTTATATTTGTGATGTGTTGTAAGTAACGTCTTTGGATGTGTTTTAAATAAAGCTTCACATTTGTGACATCTAATGTCTGTATTCACAAAGAAGTAAGTCTTTAGAGTTCTTTCTAATTTTTACTTCATTCTCTCCCCCCACACCTCCTTTGACCAACGTTCTTTAATACTGGGACCCTCATACCTAGGACCTAGCCTGGATTCACCTGCCCCCTTGTGGTGTTTTTATCCAAAAAGTGAATTAATTTTTGAAACTTGATGTGGCACAGCTTGAGCCGAGAAACCGCTTTCTTATTGTTTGGCATTGAGAGCCAGCAGCCTTCTCTATTAGTTGGTGGCTAACATAACAAGACAAAGGCAATCATTTAAGCTTTCTATTTATCCCAGAGTACAGGAAGGAGTCGGGCACACTAAGGAATAAGTGCTGTGGAGTATCTTGGAGTAACTTAATTTTCTCTAGAATCTTTGTTAATGACCGGAAGATGGAAAACTAAAGAGGTATTTCTGAAGTTTAAAAAAAATGCAACCTAAAGGCAAGTTTATTCTTTGTTGAATTTAATGAACTTTTTTTAATGAGTGAAAAGGCCACCATTCTAATTTACTTAAATTTTAAATAAATTTCCCAAGTCTCCTGTCAACGATGACTTTATAACTTAAAAAATAAGTTAAATATTATGTGCTATATAATCACACGTTTGATTCAGTATGCCACTTGTCCCTTTCTTCAACTGCCGTAAGACTAATTTTGACCCCTTCAATTGAAACTGACAGGATTTATAGATGGAAAAAAAGATGTACATGCTTCATGAGTGAATTTACCTTGCTACAGATTCAGAGTCGTTTTTTCTACATGAAAGACTTGGAAATTATAATAAATTTAACAATTATAATAATTTAACAAAAAGAAAAGGGAAAGAAAGGCACCATTCACATACATACACAGTTTGTCTTTCTTCGACTAGGTAATAGATTAGTAAGTTGTTATCGGCAAGACCCCCCCAAATAAAATTCTAAAGATTTCTATTTCTGTTAACAGTGGACTATTCCTCGCAGACGAGTTTTCTGTTTCCACACTATTTCATGTCCACCTCAGGCCCCTACTCACACCTGGCTGGGCAGAACTAGAGAGAGAGACTGGCTTCCCTGTCATCTCACCCGAGATCTAGAAGAATATATGAAGGCTTCTACACAGCCGTTTGTGGGCCCCCTTTCCCGTATCCACCACTGCTTTTCAGTTTCTCTTAAATTTACAACAGTTGACCTACTAACCGGTTCCCAGAAGCAGGTTCAGATTTTGGCAGGCTTACCCAACCTCTTTGTCCTTCCAAAGTACATAAATGCTAAACTGTGCTCACAGTGAGAGAGAAGCATTCCAACACGGCTGAAACCCAAGTGTCCCTCTGCTCCCAGCAGCTTGCTGCCATCCTCCCCTAAGGAATAGCTTGTCAGTGTGCCCTTGGCACAATTTCTTCAGCCCGGATTAAGCACAGGTGACTGAGAGCCGGCCTTATCTTCACAAGGCATTAGTCACTCTATAAAAGTTAAATTTATTATGAAATACCTTGTTTGTGTTAGCATATATCGTCGCTGGGAAGGTGGAAACAAAAGCATGTCCTTTAAGGCTCCACATGGGGAAAACACGTCCTCCTTTGGAATTTAACCTTAATTTGAACCAAGATCTGTGAAAGAAAAGCACTTTGGTGTATTGTTCCCGCACTCCACCCTTCTCTCCCCTTATCTAAACGCAGCTACTTTTGCTTTTGGATTTTTTTTTCTTAAACTCTTCCAATTCCAAACCACAATGCTTTCTCTGAGTTTAAAATTTATCCTTAATGAGAAGTTAAGGTAGGTGAAAATTCCCCTTTAAAAGTGAGTCATGTTATATACCATTAATTCTGTGCTCTTGAAGCTGCACAAATGTTTGAGCCCTTTGTTCATCTTGCTCAAATTCTGTTATCTCAACTCTGAAGGCTGTTTCAGGAGTGGGGGATCCCGCTCAGTGGCAGAGCACTTTCCTAGCGTTCAAACGCCCTTGGTTTGATCTTCGGCACAGCAAGAGAAGAGGAGGAAAAGAATTTTAAAATGTCCTTATTTCCCCAAAACTTATTTTTCAGAAAATCTTTCCCAAGACATTGGCAAATATTGGAATACATGCATAGTTCATCCTTTACTAGAAGAAGATAAAAATTACATGTAAAAAATATATTAGAAGATCCAGAGTTTGTTGTTGTTTGTTTGCTTGCTTGCTTTTTAACAGTGAAAAGCAGAGTGAGGTGCAATTTGAAAGGCCAGCAATTGAGTCCTCTCTGTTTGCAAGGCCATATACTGCTTCCCACACTTCTGGCACCATAGATACCACGCCCATCCTTCAAATCAAAAGCTGCATCTTGCTCTGCAGTCCCTCCAGACCTGTTTCTGCATGGTAAAGAAACGATCTCTGGTTCAGCAAATACTGCTCAGGTTAATGACTAGTTTCTTTAATGCCACTAACATCTACCACTAAGTCTGTATGCACCCAAATGATTTTCCTTTCTTGACTTTTGTTACACTAAAGAAAAATCACAAACCAAATTCTAATGAAAATATAGACAGCCATTTATTCTAAAAAAAAATGAATCCAAGTATGTACCATGCCCCTGTCAAAATAGCCATCTTCAACAATATTAATATGAAATTTTCTTAGGTAAACAAAAAAATCTGTAGAAAACATCTACAAATTCCTTTGACCAGATGCCTTATTATCTTCTTGTATTATCATATATTTCATTTAATTTGTAATGCTGAAATTAGTTTGGTAGTCATTTTTCTCAATTTGAAAAGGAGGGAAATTTAAAAATATAGAATGTGGGCCTAATACATCTAGAGAATTCGTGATGACCCAAGTAATGCCAAATCAGAGTTATCATTGTTCCCCACCCAAGCCCACCACCAGCTCAGCCCCAACCAACTATTTTAATTAAAATCAGTTTAAGAACATCCAACAATGATAACTCATAAAAAGCATCCCAGCACAGGACAGAGAACTTCAGCAAATGGGATTTGTATGCACAGCTAACAGCCATGAGAACCTCCACCCTGTGGCGAGACACCTGAGCCCAATGGTAAACTCTGCTCCCAAGTTCTCCTGTGAGGTCCAGCGGGAGCTTAGCTCATGTTCGCAGACCATCAACTTCAGTTCAGGTCACATTTGCACACTTCCAGATCTGTAACAGAGAGGAACACACACCATACAGCATTCACAGTAGTTGCCAGGGGTGAGGGAGTGGGGTGCAAGAATCATTTCATTTAACATATTCAACTAAAGTGGGTTTTCTAAGAACAAAACTCAAAATCTCCTAACAGATGTGGCTACCCTTTGATGCAGAAAGCATTCATCCATTATTTGCTGTTCTTGCTCCCTACTTTCTCTCTCACCAAAGCCACAGGGCTGAGTGACGAACACGTCCCGACAAATATATATTGGTGAGATGTGTTTGCCACTCAAACACGTATCTATACTTTCCAACCGCTATGTTTCTGCTTGGACTCTCTCCTTTGCTTGTTCATACTAACCTTTCATGCTTTGGCACCACCATCAATCCCACAGCAGGTTTCCTCATTCCATATCACTGCCTTGATGCGGTTCCATTAAATAAAGAATACTGAATAGCAGAACCAACTAACCGGGGCTCATATGAACTCACAATCATGGAGCCTGTATGAGTCTGTCCTAGGTCCTCTACATATATATGCTATGATTGTGTAGCTTGGTGTTCTTGTGGAACTCCTATCAGCAGGAGTGGGGGCTGCCTCTGACTCTTTTGCCTGCTTTTGAGACCCTTTTGCTCCTATTGCATTGTCTCATTCAGCCTTGATAGGAGGGCATGATTCTGGTATTATTGAATCTTGTTATGCCATGTTTGGTTGATATTGCTGGGAGGCCTGCTCTTTTCTGAAGAGAAACAGAGGGAGGAAAGTTGGATTTAAAGGAGAGAGGAGGTTGGGGGATGAGGCTGCAGGAGAGGAGTGGAGGGACACTTCAGTTGGGATGTGATATGTCAGGGAAGAATAAAAAGTTTTTTAAAAAGAGTAGTGGGTAAAAGTGGAGTGCCACCATGAAAGACACAGCCTGTGCTGGGTGGTGATGAACACTTTGATGGGGAAGCATGTAGACAGAATATTCCGGCAGAATACTTACAGCACTACTTTCAGCAAAGTGCTTCTTCACAAGCATTTGGAGTGAGATGGACTGCAGAGATTAAATGAAGACTTCATTTCATACTTTAGCATATGAAAGAAGACGTGAGTTAAACAAAACTAAAGAAATTCAACACTGTGACACCTTTATCTCACAAAAGGAGAGATTCCCAAGGGAAAAATCCAGAGGATGGGCTTCAAATGAAAATAAAGAGAAAATCCAGTTCTGATCGATGGTTCCTACTTTAAACCTGCAAAGAATTTGCAAGTCTGATAATGGAGCATGGAGGAGAACCCTTCAGAGATCAGGTGTCGTGTTGATTACTTTCTAGTCGAGTAAAGAACGGTTTGCTTTGTCACTCAGTCTTTAACCCCCTTTGCAGCAAAACTTACAAAATTCCTTTAGCTTTTCCTCTTTTTCTGAAGAAAAGTGTCAAGAAAATGCTGCTGAACACGTTCCACACTGAAGAAAAAAATTGGAAAATGTTTAGCACATATGTATTTTACAATATACTTATCAAAGGCTTACAAAAATTTAATTCTTACCATTTCTAACCAATCAGCCATTAACCAGCCAACCAAAGTGCACTGTCTACATTTCGCAGGCAGAAGATTTACAGTCTATGCTTGAGCCAAACCTCCACCAAAACCACTGCCTGACCCTACATTTGATGTTGACCCAAACCAAGAGGGATATTAGAATTGTAAACACTATAGGAGTTCTGGAACCCAAAACCTGACTTGTCTCCCTCAGCATGGTGCCCTGGCTTTGGGGTTGACTGGTTCTGCTGTCAGGCTAAAATGCCTACCATACACCCCCAACTTCTCTGCAGTGCTTCCCAGGCTGCAGCCATTATTGCTGGATTAATGATAAAAGTTCCAAAGTTCATTCCTCCACCCATACTACCACCCTGGTTATTTCCCAAGCCAACTCCACCCCTTCTAGCGTTACCAAA